AGTGACGTATACGTGAATAGTACTATAGAGATGAACAGTACCGTATATATGTTGATGATGGAAATTAATGGTTATTCGTGTTACTAATTATGTAGTTTTGAGCAAAGTGACTCAATGGTTGAAGAGAGCTCATTGGAAACAACTTTGGGTTGAAAACCTAATTTCCTTGAAAATTACATAAAGAGTAAGTTTAAGTCAAAATTTAATTAGCCATTGGGTATATGTTAAGTGAAAAGCTTTGAAGGCTTAAATAAATAAAAGATAAGGTGGAATTAAATGTGGTAGACTAGTATATATAAATACTTATTGTCTTCACATCTTATAACTAGGTTGTGACTTTGTGAGAGATTGTGATTGTGACTCTGGACACGAGATTTATTGGAGGACAGTGCTTGACAGGTAAGCTTTCGGTCCTTGGGGTTAATCCCCTGTTTGTTCCACCAAACTCTGAAGGAGGATGGTACTTTTATTTGGTATGTGAATATGAACTGTTATATGTTGCATGTATATGTATGTATGTTTGTGTGCCACACAAGACAATATTTTCTTGTGTGAGGCATAAGACGGTGTTTCCTTATGCATAGTATGAGACAATGCTTCTTCATACAGTATGTTGCAAGATGGTGTTTCTTTGCATAATGCATACTTGTTATATTCTCTGGCCAGTAAGATTTATTATTTGCACACTACATTGTCATACATATTCTGATGCATGCATAGATTTTTACTATGGTTATACCATAAGTGAGCTTAAGGGTGGATGAGCCCTCCAAGGATCCCTAGCTTACTAAGGTAATTATATTATCTCACCCCGCGTTATGGGGATTACCATTTCAGGTACATGAGCTGATGGTGCTGAGGCATCGCGTGGCAAAAAGCCATACGAGAGATATTACCTGACCTGATAGTCAAGATTAGCTTGTTATGCTGATATGTATTTGGCATGGTTTTATTTTGGATATGTATATATACCATGTTATTCTTTTGGAGAGCATAGAGAGTGTCTATGCCGTGTCGATAGTCTGTATATGTTGTTAGTGATACAAGCTCAGGTCTATGTTACTTATTTAATTGCATCTCTTTTATTTATTTGATATAATTATATAAGTAACATGATAGACATTATTTTGAGGCAGTATGATTATGAGATAGCCTACGACATGGATGGCTGGGCAATATGTTTTATCTATGTTGTGGTATGCCTGGATTATATTAAATTGTCAATCAGGTTGAAATTATCATGGTGGAAATTATCCCAGTGGTCCAAAATACAGACGAAATGTTGTCCGTTTTATTTTGGCCATGGAAGTGAAAAAGTTTGCAATACATAAGGAAAAAGAGAAAATTTATTCAGTTAGCTTCCGCATTAATTAAGTTGAGCATTTTGCAGTTACTATCATATGAATGTTAATTAACCGTCTGCAGACGAGGAGTTACATATACCCTTCTCACTTATGTGTCCGAGTCGTCTGTGCCAAAACTCCAAACTTGATTCATCTTGCACCGCATTGGTTTCTCCATTGCCGACCCTCCCTTGCATAACATAGAGAGATCCTTCTTTCTTACCTCAGGCTACCACCAAGCTACCTTTTGTGCGTTTTCATCTTCCTTCACCAAAATAGTTTACCAGCCCGACTTCATCAATCTTTCCTGCCGAGATAAGATTGAGCTGCATATAAAGAACACGCCTGACCTCCTTTAGAACCAATCTACAACCGACGTCAGTCATCATCATGACTTCTCCAACTCCCACTATCTTACTGGTAACCTGGTTACCCATCTTCACGACTCCAAAGTCGTCACCTTGATATCATGAAAAGAATTCCTTTTGGGGTGTGACATGGAAGGATGACTCTGAGTCCACAACCCATGAACAATCATCATAGGCTACATTCAAGTAGTTGTCTTCACCAATCAAAAAGACATTGACCTCGACCTTGTCTGCTACAGCTGTGGTGCTCTGCTCTTTTTTCTTCTTCGGATCTATTGCATCTGGTTTGGCATTTCCCATCCTCGGATCCTTCTTCAAAGTTTGGCATTCCGACTTTCAGTGACCCAGTTTTCCAAAGTAAAAGCATGTGAGGTTCAGCCTCGCCTTTGACTTACCTCTAGACTTGTCATGACCTCGACTTTTACTTCAACCTCAGTGTGTCATTCTTCCATGGTTTTCAACAATATTTGTTTCATTCTACTAGGTTATACCTTATTCTTTCCTCCTAGCCTCTTCATTCAACAGGTTGTCCGCAACCGAGTTTAGTGTAATCTTTCTTTTTGGGGTTGAGTTGCTGAGTGTCACCACCAAAGTATCCCAGCTCTCAGGCAATGAGCTGAGTAGCAAAAGGGCTTGCAACTTGTCATCTATCTTCATGTCAATCTTTGTTAGCTAATTGACAATCCCCTTTAATGTATTCAGGTGATCAATCATGTTTTGTCTGTCCTTGTAGTCTAGCTTTACAAGTCAGCATGCCAAGTGTGCTTTGTTCCGTGGCGTCTTCTTCTGGATTAAGGATTCCATCTTTGTCCACAGCTCGTAAGCGTTTGTGTAGGTCGACACATGCTTGAACAAGCTCTTATCGATGTACTTGCGGATCATAGTGACCGCCTTCCAATTGAAGAGATTCCACTATTTATCACTCTTCCCTTTTGGCTTGTACGCGCTCAGAATGGGCTAATTTAAATCCGTGCAATAAAGATGATCCTCTATCATGAGTTTCCAATATGAATAGTTCTCCGCGGTGAGTTTGAATATGTCATCATCATGTACTATGGAACCCTCCATATCTAACCTCATAGAGTCCTTGATTTAAGAGCTCTGATACAACCGTTGAGTCTCGAAGCCCGACAGTTCTGAGCCCGGCCTTCTTTAGGTCGGCCTGCGGAAGCGACAATGAACAGTAATAGTAAAACAAATTAAAAATAGAGATAAGGAGGAAGAGAACACCAAGAAATTTAATGTGAAAAACTTTTTCGATGTGAAAAGTAAAAATCACAAGACCAAATTCAGAAAAACATCACTATGAATAATGGGATTACAAGATTCACTTAGGCTCAATAGCCAGAGGACTTTACCCTCTAAGGAATGGATCTACTCAGAAGTGGCATCACACAAGTATTTATCTTTGTAAAGGGGATAGGAAATCCTACTCTACAAGATAGTCTTCTTCTTTAGCAATCATGTTGAGTTTCTTCCTCAGAGAATCTTCGTCTCTGACTTATGTTTTTCTCCTGCGCGCTCTCGCTCTCTATCGGCTTAACATCTAAACATCTCTTATAAATAAAAAATTACGAAACCATCAATTTAGGTCGGGTCCATCATGGACCACGAACCCAACAACAGCACATGCCTCAAACTCGCATTTCTCCAATATGTTGAGCTTGATGTAAACAGCCAGTTGATATTATAATGTAAAACTTTTCCCTTAGCACAAAATCTTCTTTGGTAAAGTATATGTTGGGCCCAGGGTGGTTTGAAATAGGAAATGCTACATTATTGTATAAGATTTCAAAGGAAAAAAAAAAAAAAAAAAACTGAAGCAAAAATGTTACATAAAAATGACACACGTCACATCTACTGGACCCAAAATCTATTCGATTTAGAGTTCAGACAGATGAATGGAGAATAAACTCCCAACTGGCAGCAAGGTCACATGCACCATTTTTATTTCCCTTGCTATGTTATGTCCTTTTCATGAACAAAAGCTATGTTTCTTCTTTTTTTGTTTGAGGTCTACTGACTCTTTCTTATGACTTAAACCCCATTTTTCTGAAGTTTGGATTCTGTCTCATAACTTTTTACAGTATTTCAGAAAAACTAATCATATTAGTGAACATGCCAACTATATGATATTTGAAATTAACAAGCTTCTTGTAATATTTTCTACCAGACTTACCAGGTTTTAAGAAGTCTCCTTAATCACTCTCTCATACCTTGCAGCAACATAATTGTCCCCAATTTCATTTATAACGATTTGAAAGAATTTTTTTTTACTATGAGTTTCTCGGCAATTTTCCCTTGCAGGCATGCAACAACCTCGTTATTTCCACTTGTACAAGCTTTTAAGCTCTATTTTTTTTTTTAATCTTATGTTGCACTTCACACCAAAAAAATAAAATATGGCCCAAATTTTTATCAGGAAATTGAAACAGGGCCCATGTCAATATCATGGTAAGATCATGGCATGAAGGTCAATTACAATTTTAATTGGACAATAGGGGCGTAGGTCAGAGATGTATGTCTAGTATCAAATAATGAACCATGAGAGCTGAGCAGGTGAGGGATGAAAGTATGTATTCGATCATCTCCAGTATTATTTTTGGGAGGAATTTAAAACCTTAATCGTAGACTCATCTCGAACAGAATTATCTCCTGTGAAAGATACATGTAGTTTATCTAAAAAAAAGACAGATATATGTCTAGTAAAGAGTGTTACTTGACTTAGAAGTTCTAAACTGTAAAATATGCTTTAAAAACTTCACCTAAATTATTGCAAAACAATTAATATATTGTATTGTGCAAAAATCTCAATGTATGTTACAACCATATATTTATCCCAAACTGGTAAAACAATTCTAAATTGTAAATTTGTGATCAAACACTCTTCAAGCGAATTATCCTATTGTTGCTAATGCAGATTAAAAAACTAAGCAATCACTAGTTAATTTCAGAAGATACAGTTTCAAAGATATCCAAACCCACTTGTATAGTATCACACACATAATGTTTTGCTTGAAATTGAACCCCACATTCGGTTAACATGTAAAATGCTTCAAGAATAAAATTAAGACATATGTCAAATACTCACATCTTTAACATGATTCTAACTATTTTATATCCATTTGCATTCATAATAATCATGAGGCTAACTAATAATTTTAAGAGTCCTCATAGTTTGTTACTGACAAATTGGACCTACTGTTTGTGGAAACTAAAACAGCTCAAACTTTTCTTTTCTTGTTTCCCTTTTTCTTATACAAGAATATAGCTTCAAATTAGTTCCACAATGAGAGTTGTTATTGTCACAAGAACAAACCAATTTTTCATTGAAGTAGGTACTCAAGAAACAGTAGTTGAAATCAAAAGAAAAATAGAACAAATCCATGATGTTCCAGTGGCTTCACAAATCCTAACAGTTTCAGGGTGGGAACTAGTGGATGGATTAGACATGGAAGATTATCCAATAGTCACTGAAGGTACAAAAGTGTACCTCACCATCAAACTAGTGGAGTCACATACTAATCATCCTAACAAAATGCAAATCACAGTAAAATTTTCAGCTAGACAGATTAACATAGAGGTGGACAGAACAGATACTGTTCGTAGCTTGAAGGAAAAGATTCATATTATTGATAGCACACCCATCAAAAGAATGACACTTTTCTTTTTAGGGAAAGAATTGGATGAAGATTTTCGAAATCTGAATGAGTATGGCATACGTGAATTCTCAGAAATTGTTGTGTTTCTTAAGACAATGAATCGGTCAAGAGATGATCCTCCTGCAAGGAAGTTAAGCTTAGTGGTACAAACTTCCTCTAGTTTGCTTAATGCAGCCACTATTCCATTGGAGATGAGAGATGCAAGCACTGTCAATGAGTTGAAGCAGTTACTGCTAAGCAGAAAAATTCTACCAGTTGATGACTATTTGTTTGTACACAGGCAGAGGATCATGCGTGATAGTTGTAGCCTCAGGTGGCACGGAGTTGAAAATGGTGACGGTCTCTATGTGTTTAAAGGTACAGTTAGTCGTAGTGGTGGGCATGCATGAGCTTGAATTACAGTAAGTATGGATTTGTTTGTTTCAATTTTTATTTTATTTTGCTTTAGTTTGTGTTGTCACATTTAGAACCAAAAGATGAAGAACATTTTACATGACTAGAAAATCTTCTTGTTTGTATACATATGCTTAGTATGTATTTAAAAAAAAAATCTGCTATCTATTCTGTTGATACCATCTGCTACTTTTATGAATTTAAGACTATTTGAAAAGAATGAAAGCGAAGAATTAAATGATTCAATAGGTGTGCAATTAATAGCTTAGTTAGAATCAATAATGAACCAAATAAAAAGTACGAAAAAGCAAGTTTATAAATCAGACATTCCTATTGAAATTAATGAAACAGAAGATAAGTCATCATTCAACAGCAATATTCTTTTCTTTTCTTTTTTAAGTTAAGGCGAATCACATAATTTTTTAAGTTAAGGTTTTCGATTGAATTGAATGCGAAATGATGTAATAAACTATACATTTATGCTAATGCAAGTGATTCAGCAAATATATAAAATAAAATTTCTAATCTGCTCCATTATCAAAATAAATACATCGGTTAGTGTTTCATTAACATGGCTTCTTCTGCTGATTGCTGATGAACTACGTATATTCACTGGCAAGGCAATATTAGATAGATTGACAGTCTAAAGAGTAAAAAAGTGGTCAATCTTAGATAACTCATTGCCATTTTTAACAACTTATAGGTTTCTCTTCCACTCAGATTATATTTGAGAACAAAATGAGAATCAAAATGAAGGTAAAATCCAATTTTCTTTTCTCATGTTTGAATGTAACAATTATTATTAAGAAGAATAAATATGAAAATAAAATGATAAAATTTAACAGTCACTCAACGTTGATGACACTTTGATAAAGATATGCAACATTAATATTATTAGCCTTTAAAATTATTTTCTTATTCACTTTCACAAGATCAAGAAATTAATAGAACTTTTTTTTTTTAATTTTCAGCACTCCCATACTCCTCTTCAGTTCACAAAAAGAGATAATTGACCTTCCCCTTTAACTCCCATTATTCTTTGAATATTCCCAAAATAACATGTATCAATCATTAAGTTGTAAGGGAGATGGAATACTTTTCAGATTTTCTTTTCTTTTATTTCTTTTATATTTTTTAATTCATTAAACTTATTACCAGCGAATTTTTAGAATTGTAACTTATTATATCATTGTACGCTAAACCAATAAAAAATTGGTTAAAAGAACTAAACAGTATGATAAACCTTGGCTAATAAAAACATGAAAATCTGGATTCTCTAACCAAGGATTTTTCCATGACTTATAGTTCTCTCTTTTTTCTTTCATCAAAGGAGAAGGATATATTTACAAATTTTTTTGTTTACAAACTACACTATGTTCTCCCTGGAGAACACTAGGTTACACTATGTTCTCACGGGAGAACATAGTGTTCTCACGGGAGAACATAGTGTATTTATAAAAAAAGTTTGCAAACGGATCCTTCCCCTTCACCAAATATGCCATTATATTAGACAATGCAAAGAAGGATCATTACATTGCCATTAGGCAATAATATGATAGAGCCCAATTGCGTAAGGCCCAATTGCACAAGGTCTATGTAAGGGACAAAGGCAGGAGAAGAGGATTGAATGAAAAAGAGGCCCATGCCAATCAGTTGGCTAATGCTGAGTCAGACAAGTTGTAAGAGGCGAGCGACGTGCAACAACTTGCAAGTTAGTTAGAAGGAGGAGTATTAGTAGGGAAGTGAGAAGGGAATAGAGGGTACCAAGGGGTCAGGTTGTTATGTAGTAGCGTGAGGGAGTGCATGGGCATCTCTCTGGAATTTTTCTTTCCTTTAAACACTGATCCATAGCAGCACTATGGAGAACCAGATGTAATGCTTTTATTATTGCTTGTTGTTCTGAAACTTTATCAATACAAAGAGGAATATTCAGTGAAATTGTGTGTTTCTTTACGTTGAGTGTATCAAATTGGTATCAAAGCTCCGACTGGGAGCATGGTTATGGTCAGAACGAGAAACATGGATGGAATGGAGGAGAGAGTTCGCTGTGGCGAGCAAGCTCAGGAGGAAATGATGCGGCGGATGGATGCCAGTGATGCGAATCAAGCAGAAATCATCCGTCAATTAAGGGAATTGGGGGCAGGGATGGAACAGCCCCGCTCTGAAGAGTTTCGCAACAGGCACCATCATGGACCAGAGAACCGGGGAAGAAATGGTGCTGAGGGATCTCGTGGGAGTCACAGGGGGGGAAGTTACATGGATCCTCGAATCAGAAAATTAGACCTCCCCATTTTCTCAGGGGAAAATGCATACGCGTGGCTCAGCAAAGTTGAGAGATACTTTCAGGTGAACGAAGTGGAGGAAGAGGATAAGGTTCCTACAATGATGCTGGTCCTAGAAGGGGAAGCTCTGAATTGGTACCGTTGGTGGGAGTTAGACAAACCGGTGGCTACCTGGGGACAATTCTGGCGAGAAGTGTTGTGTCGTTTTCAGCCAGAATTACTGGACAATCCTTACGGTCCGCTGTATTCATTGAAACAGACAGGGTCTGTGAAGGAGTTCATAAATTAATTTGAAACGGTGGTGGAGACGATGAGATACGCGGACGAAGAAATGCTAAAGGGTGCCTGGTTGAGTGGGCTGAAACTTAGCATAAGGCAAGAGATTCTTATTAATCTTGGGCTGAGCTTGGCTTCCATGTTAAAGTTGGCCCAAATAATCGATTAGAGGAACTCTGCATGGGCAGATGAGGGAGTGGGCTACTTTGGGCCCAAAATACTGAACGACCCAACACGTGGCCAATTCATGAACTCCAAAGGAACCTTTAGTAAACAAAACTCACCCACGTCATTGGAATCGGGTCAAACTAATAGCGTTGGAAATCTGAAACCTAATGCCCTAGGTCGCGGTGGAACGGCAACGGCGTCGCAGGGAAGTGCTACGGCGAGCCAAGGTGGATTCCGACGGCTTTCGAACGTGGAGGCAACGGATCGAAGGAATAGAGGGTTGTGCTTCCGATGTGAAGAGAAATGGACGCCAGAGCATCGTTATGCATCCAGACAGCTTCACCTTCTTATTACGGAGGATGGCAACGAAGACGAAGCCACCAAAGTGACCAACGACGCTGATGTTGATACAGAACCACTTCGCGAAGAAGAAGAGCGGCCGCTGCAGTTGACCTTGCACAGTATAATGGGACTCACTTCCAACCAGCCGATGAAGGTTTGGGGCAAGGTCGAAGGGGAAAGGTTGGAGGTACTCATCGATTGTGGGGCGTCCAGCAATTTTGTGAAGGCTGAGGTGGTGCAGCGTTTAGGCTTGAAGGTGGAGAAGACCCCGACGTTCAAAGTTGTAGTTGGAGACGGACACAAGGTGGAATGCAGTGGGGTGTGTAGGAAGGTGAAAGTCAAGGTTCAGGATCATGAAATTGTCCAAGATTTATTTCTATTTGCATTGGGGGGAGCTGATATTGTTTTGGGGCTGGACTGGTTAAGGGAACTAGGAGAAATAAGGGCTAATTTCAGAGAGATGACTCTCAAGTATGGAGAACCAGGCAAGGAGACCTTCATCAAATGTGATCCCTCGTTATCCAGGACTCTGTCATCTCTGAAGGCCAAGACTAAGGCCCTTTTGCAGACGAGTCAGGGGTATTATGTAGAGAAAGAGGAAGTTCTTCAGGAAGGAGGGGCTGATGACGATCTCTTCCCACCAGGGTGGAAGGAGTTAGCAGTATTATTGAAGGAATTTGAAAATTTATTTGTGAGACAAAAGGGAATTCCCCCAAAGCGTACAAGGGATCACTCAATAGTTTTGAAACTAGGGAGCCAAGTGCCCAACAATCGCCCTTACAGGTACTCCTATTATCAGAAAAATGAAATCGAAAAGTTGATTGTTGAATTATTGAGTGATGGGTTCATTAGACCCAGTGTTAGTCCATATTCTAGCCCCTGTCATTCTGGTTAAAAAAAAAAAAAAAGACGGCAGCTGAAGAGTGCGCGTGGATTATAGGGCGCTGAAAAAGAATATTGTTCCTAACAAATTCCCCATACCCATGGTGAAGGAGTTATTGGATGAACTTGGGGGATCTAGCTTGTTCAGTAAGTTGGATCTAAAATCCAGGTACCATCAAATCAAAATGAAGGAGGAGGACATTCCCAAGACGACTTTCAGGATGCACAAGGGTCATTATGAATATTTAGTGATGCCATTTGGACTCACGAATGCTCCATCCACGTTTAATGCCCTTATGAATGAGGTACTGAAGCAATTTTTAAGGAAATTTGTATTAGTATTTTTTGATGATATTTTAATTTACAGCAAGAATTCCCTTGAGCATATTGCACATCTTCAATCAGTATTCTCAGTGTTGAGGGAGCACAAACTGTTTGTTAACAAAAAAAAGTGTAAATTTGGGCAAAGTAGGATTGAATATCTTGGCCATTTTATCACTACTGAGAGTGTTAGTGCTCACCACAACAAACTTCAGGCCATGCTAGATTGGCCGAGTCCTAAGAATGTGAAGGCATTGCGGGGTTTTTAGGGACTTACTGGTTACTATCGAAAATTTGTGAAGGACTATGGAAAAATTGCTCAACCGTTGACTTAATTGCTTAAAAAAGAAGAATTCCAGTGGGGTCAAACAGTAGAGGAGGCATTTCAACTGTTAAAAAAAGCCATGACCAACATGCTCCTGTTAGCTTTACCAGACTTTTCCAAGTTGTTTACGGTGGTAACAGACGCGTCAGGGAAGGGAATAGGAGCAGTACTTATGCAAGAGGGTAGACCGTTGGCCTACATTAGCCAAGGGTTTTCCAAGGCAGCATTGTCCAAATCGGTTTATGAGAAGGAACTGATGGCCATCGTGTTTGCAGTAAAGAAATGGCGTTGTACCTTTTGGGTAGGCATTTTATAGTGAAAACTGATCAGAAAAGCCTCAGGTTTTTATGGGACCAGCATGTTCTAGGAGAAGATCAACAAAAATGGACATCCAAGTTATTGGGTTATGACTTCGAAATTCAGTACCAACCAGGGAAGGAAAATGTAGTGGCGGATGCTCTTTCTAGGACTATGTTGTATTCTTCAATTTCTCATGTATAGCTACCGGAATTGGAAGAAGTGGATAGGGAAGTTCAAGGTGATTCGAAGCTGCGAAAAATCATACAAGAATTGGCGTTAAATTCAGATGCGCACAGGGGATTTAAAATAGTGGGAGGAAGGTTGTTCTACAAGTACAGGTTAGTCCTATCTTCATCCTCTAGATTTATTCCCTTAATCCTACATGAGTTTCATGATTCCAATATGGGTGGGCACTCAGGGTTCTCTCGAACATATAACAAGATATTGGGAGTAGTATATTGGGAAGGGATGAGAAGAGCAATTCAACAGTATGTTAAGGAGTGTGCAGTTTGCCAACAATACAAAGTTCAGAACTTGTCACCCGCGGGTCTTCTGCAACCATTGCCCATCCCCACACAGGTTTGGTCAAAAATTTCAATGGATTTCATTGGGGTCTCCAAAGAGTTTTTGGGGTCGATACCATCTTTGTAGTGGTGGATCGTTTGACGAAATATGCTCACTTTATGGGGTTGTCTCACCCTTATTCAGCAAAGCACGTGGCAGAATTGTTTGTTAAAGAAGTGGTTCGTTTGCATGGATTCCCTTTGGTGTTTGTATCTGATAGAGACAAGGTTTTTTTAAGCAAATTCAGATCGGAATTATTCAAATCAGCGGGTACTAAGCTGCATTACAGTACAACGTATCACCTTCAATCCAATGGGCAAACGGAGGTGGTAAATAGAGGTTTGGAAACGTACCTTTGTTGCTTTTGTGGCCCGAAACCGAAGAGTTGGCCTAGGTGGCTACATTGGGCTGAGTTTTGGTACAATACTACGTACAAAGAATCAACCGGAACGACACCTTTCAAGGCATTGTACGAGATTGATCCTCCACAATTGTTACAGGTGGGAAATAGTTTTTTGAAAGTTGATGCAGTGTCTTCATTGTTGGCAGAAAGGGAAGTCATCTTGGAGAAGTTGAAGGCGTCTCTAGAAAAGGCTCAAAATCGGATGAAGATCCAGGCAGATAAACATAGAAGGGATGTACAGTTTGAGGTAGGAGAAAGGGTGTACCTACGAATCCAACCTTATAGACTGAAAACACTAGCAACAAGAGTCAATGAGAAATTGAGTCCTCGCTTCTATGGACCATTCTCAGTTGAAGAAAAGGTGGGAATGACTGCCTATCGTTTAGATTTACCACTGGGTTGCAAAATCCACCCAGTCTTCCATGTATCACTGCTGAAAAAAGTTGATCCAAGCATACAGAAGCAGCAACCGTTACTTGAAGGATTGACGGCTGAATGGGAATTAAAGGTACATCCTGAGGATCCTTTGGATTGGCGTAGGGATGTTCAGGGTAATGTCAAAGTTCTGGTCAAATGGCATGGCTTACCAGATTTCAAAAATTCTTGGGAGAATTTTGTTGCCTTGGATGATCAATTTCCAGAACTCCACCTTGAGGACAAGGTTCTTGGATTGGGGGGGGGGGGAGTATTGATAAAGCCCAATTGCGTAAGGCCCAATTGCACAAGGTCTATGTAAGGGACAAAGGCAGGAGAAGAGGATTGAATGAAAAAGAGGCCCATGCCAATCAGTTGGCTAATGCTTAGTCAGACAAGTTGTTAGAGGTGAACGACGTGCAGCAGCTTGCAAGTTAGTTAGAAAAAGGAGTATTAGTAGGGAAGTGAGAGGGGAATAGAGAGTACCAAGGGGTCAGGTTGTTATGTAGTAGTGTAAGGGAGTGCATGGGCGTCTCTCTGTAATTTTTCTTTCCTTTAAACACTGATCCATAGCAGCACTATGGAGAACTAGATGTAATGCATTTATTATTGTTTGTTGTTCTGAAACTTTATCAATACAAAGAGGAATATTCAGTGAAATTGTGTGTTTCTTTACGTTGAGTGTATCATAATAAAAGTCAACTGTTAATTGCCAAATCGTTATATTTATAATTTCGCTCAGAATTCAGGCAATTTATTTATAGAAAGAACTCATGCATGTGACATCCATAATGAACCATCATCCGCAAGTAAAAGCCAGCAGCATACCTGCAAACTAGATACTTGAAACCTGATAGAATGAACTCTTTGTCAAGAAAGCTACATTCGTGTGGTATCTCAAGAAAAATGAAATTTAAGCTATAAACTGCCAATTTTGTGGTAGTGAGGAACTTACTACAAACATTTCCAACAATGCAGTATCTCCCGTGTCACATATTTCCAGCAATTATTGGACTTATGATTCCTCAAGAGACTAAATTAATCAACAGGGCAAAATAACTAGGACCTTTGACTGGAGAAGTAGAATATCCAATTACCTTCTTCCAACCAGAGGAGCTACTCCATCAAGTCCAGCCACATATATGTAGAGATTTTTATCTGCTCTGCAGAAATATTTTGGGAGATGTGAAATATGGGAACAAAACTTCTTGCTGTAAGCAACAGAACAGGCACATGGATGCATAATCAGATATGCACGACAACCTTAAAATTATGCTGAAGATTGCAGACGAAGGTAATGACATGTCAGATTTATTCCCCAAACTGTCCTTGATTGAGTGTCTGATTCCAATTAGACCCGAAATTTAACTCACTGTTGCTTTCAAAAGTTTGATTCTCTACTGCTCCTGCCAAATTTTATAATTGACAGGATCAGACAAACCTTGCACTTTCATCATACAATTATACTTTGCAGGCACAATGGCACCAGCTTTTGAGCATAGATCCAGTACAGCTGGAACACGCCCATAAAAGTCTTTCCCTTCATTCACAAGTACAGGAGGATCTTGAGGCCTTCGCCTCCATACAATCTTTGGAGGCACTAAATTATCCACATCAGCTTTCATCCAAAAGTGAGCTCCTTTCCAACTCTCATACTTAAAAACTCCACAGAGCCTAGCTTTATGGCCAGACGGCCCAACATGAACCTCAGAACAAGATTTACAAACTTTTACTGGATAAACCAACAATAACTTCTGCACCCCAGACCTAAGAGTCTCCCAAGCATTGAATGTTCTCTTCGCTACAAAGGCAAGATCATTTGGTGAGAAAGACTCAGTTCCGTGGACACTGCCATTGGCAGCCTCCATGTTCCAACTACTTGAATTAAGGTTTTCATCATGGGGATCAGCCCCTGCTTGCCAGCATAACTCAACAACAGCAGGGACGCGATCAAAGTCAAACCTTTGGTTGTGCGTAATAACACTTTGGAACATGTTGTTCAGGTGAAACGTTTCAACAGGAACAAGTATATCATTCAAACCACCTTTGACCCATTCATGAACCCGCTTCTTTGCACGATGCTTGTAACCCCAGCAAGTCTGAATTACATGCCCCTGCTCACCAATAAATATCTCCGGACAGAATCTGTAAATGCAAAATATAAGTAGAAATAGTGTTTTCAACAACTTGAGCGCACAACACTGGAAGACAACAATTCCAAGTAAAATACATTTTACTCATCAATCACATTGGTTCATAATGTTTTCAACAACTTGAGCATACAACACTAGGAATATAACACGTCCAAAATTCCAATTTTGACCAAACTGGTTCAAACGTCGTTCCTCATGATTAAATGGTAATAAATCATAAAGATCAAATGCAATAAAATTATTTTACAAAAATAACTTTTCACATTTTAAGAAATGACCAACTCATAAAAATGGTTATCATTTATAGGCAGAAGTAGGAAGTACAAGTGTTTGCTCACTTATATTATAACATGCTAATGTTGGCACTCTTCTGTTCCATCACCAAGAAAACCTCTGCTTTTTTCCCCCTCCATCCGTATACCATCTCAATGGACATTTGAACCCAAAAATGGATAAAATCAAATCCAGTTTTCATGTGTGACTAGAAGTATCAACAAGATTACAAATTTATATAATGTCAATGCAGAATAACCTGCCTAATGCAAAATAAAAAAAACACCCACATCAAACTTTAGAGCAACAATCCCAAATACTACAACTAAAAAAAAAAAAGAGTTTAGATATATTTTTGATCCCCAAACACATTTGGTGCTTATACGAAAATAATAATAATAATAACTTAGTCCTTATATATATAATCCTTTTCAAATTTGTATTCGTCTTTTGTTGTTGTTATAAGTCAACTTATAACACAATTGGTATGGACTATGGAGTTACTCTGAAATCAATTTGGTTTGTATATGACTATATGTTATAAGAATAAGACAGCGAAAATCAGATTAAAAAAATTATACTTAAAGAAGTTAAATTGAAAATGAATGAATGTTATCTATAACGATCAAAAATACATTTTAACCAAAAAAAAAGAAAAAAGAAAAAAAGAACCTCACTTGCAAGCCATGAGAGGAATGGACTTGAGGAGGGTAGAAACGCCGTGGATGAGAACATTCCTGGCGAGGAGGACCTCTTTCGCAACCGGAACCATATCGCGAACCGGGAACCGGTCGGCCCGTTTCTCGATTCTCTTGAGAATCATGGGGCGGAGCTTCCTCAGGTCAACTTTGGTGGCGTACAACCGGCATTGGTACCGAAACAACCCACCAAATTCTGAGAACAGAACATCGCGCCAGAGCATGTTTCTCAAAGCCATCGAATCTGCAACCAAAAGAAATTGAGATGGCCACAGGAGCATATCGTCGAACAGTTAGATGTCATCACGAAAATCCATAGAAAATTTGGCACCTACCTCGTAAAACAGAGATAACATAGAAGGAAACAAAACCCCAAGTGAATTTCGTATGGCGTATCGATTCAAACCAAAGTAGTGTCTGGAGATCATAGAAGATGGAGCAGCCGTGCGTGTGTTTTGTTTTGAGGGTTTTATACCTAAGTTTGGCTTAAACCGTAATTATATTTAGTTTTTTTTTTTTTTTAATAAAAAAAGTTTAAGTGGGGTTAAATCCCACTAAGGTCAGAGAAGACCCCAATCTCTTTGATGATTTCTGGGAGGGATTACATATCACTCATCAACAAAGTCCTCACATCGGCCAGCGGAGTTTGAACCCACGCCCTTACATATTTAGTTTTTTTATTAGTTATAATTATATTTAGGAAAAAGTTCACCAATGCTGTAACACCCCGTGTATACCCGAAATATTAACATTACATTGTATTAAGCGGTGCTTAATAAAAAAAATGCGGAATATTCTTTTTCTTTTCAATTATGACGTCATTATCAATTACCAACTTGATTACTTAATCGATTTCATAAAATATCGCCTATAGGTGAAATTACAATAAGACATCTACTGAAATACCTCAATATATAGATAAAGTGTGTATCTAAATCACGGCATTACATCAAGTAATCCGGACAATATCCTGATATATTATTACAACTCCAAAAGACTCAAGACATAATCAAGACATAATAATACTATGTGTCATGGACAATCCCCATGCTCACCAAATAAACAAAGTAAAAAACAATCTCAACATAAAACTCCAAAATCATAACTGAAGATATAAGCATATAAACAGCATGCAAATCCAGCATCCAATCATGGCAGCATAACATAACAGCAATCTAACTCAGCTCCGGCCTCCTACCGCCTGAGGTCTCAACATTACCTGACCCTGAAATAAGCATTCCCCAAACGTGGGGTGAGATCTCTAAACTAGAAATCTCAGTAAGACAAGGGGTCCTCAAGGATCTTCCACCCCAAGCTCACTTACATGTGCAATATAAGTTCAAAAAGCATTTATATCATTATCAGTTCCAAAACTATGTATTGCAACAGATATCTATGGCATGTGTGTAATCACTATCTACTGGCCAGAGAAATGTAGGAATACGTCTATTCCCTACATGTAGTACAAGGAACACCGCTTGCACCTCACCCAGAGCCTCACCCTCTTGTATGTTCTACATACTCAGGCTTACCGTATAGGTGGAACACCTCCATGCATATCAACAAGGCACTAACATACAATAGCTCAACAGCATTTCCAAAACATCAAAAGCATGTAACACAGCATGCATATACCATATCCTCATGGGACATGGTGGAACCACAACATGGCTAAACCGAGGACACGAAAGCTTACCTCTAAACTAGCTATCCAATGCCACAAGCTCAAAGTCCAATCACAGCAGATCACAATCTGATATGGACCAAATATAAATCAATAAACATGTACCACATGCATACAATTAAAGACAACATCTTTTCATTGCGTTTTCAAGTCTTAAAGCTTCTAACAAAGCCACAAGCCCTTAATCACATGATTCTGGCTTAATCCATTAAATAAAGAAGTTCAACTTCATCAAACTAGGGTCCACAAACCCCCAATAGCCTACTGTACACACAGCACAGCTGCTGTTCTGCGAAATCCCAGAATATCCGGATATCTCACTGTCCATATCCGGATATACAGATTCACATATCCGGATATCCAATATCCGGATATCCCAAAACCACATATCCGGATATCCCATATCCGGATATCAGTTCGACAAATATCCGGATATCTCACGACAGAATGCAGTTTCTGCATTTTCGTGAAGATATCTCTTAAAGGTTCCCTTTTTACCGATTTTAAACACCTAATCATGCATTTCTAGGTGTGTTAAGCCTTACCCAACAACAAGTTATCATCTTTTAACCTTAACATGCATCAAGCTTCCATTTTTAAGCCTTAAAACTAAAGTTAAAGATTGGTATACATACCAAAGGCCAAAACAGAAGGAAAGGTTGCCTTTTGGAGCTCACAATCAGTCTCAAGCTACTGTCACAAGAGGATGCACAAAAATGGTAAGAAAGGTTGACCCTTTAGCACCAAAGATCAACACTTGGACCACCAAAAACCCAAGACAAGGTTTCTTTCAACCCAACCACCAAGGTCAGCCCCCAAACAAACAAGAACAGTGGCTGATCACTCAGAAAAATGGTGTCTTCCAACCTCCCAAGGCTCACTCAAACAAGAACAAGTGTTTAGGAAGAAGGTTTTAAGAAGAAACAAGCATAAAATGATCACAAAGTCTCAAAATGGAGTAGATGGCAATGGAACAGTATAGGAGGTCAGCCACCAAGGAGAACTCACGCTGGTTTTCTGGTATCCAGGGCAATGTGCCCTTAGTAAGTGTATTTATAGCCAAAACTCACTTAAGCACACAGTATTAACTTTAATTGCTACGCTTAGTATTTTAATCCCAAACTTTGGATTATGAAACTACATAATTTTCTAAGATTTATCATATTTTTCTTATATTTTTCTGAGCACCTTTCCGGTACGCGCTTTTCAAAGCCAGTACCGGTTTCTAGCACCAGTTCTCATTATTTGGACTTGAAACTCGTTTTACAAGTCCTACATATTATTCTAGTAATTATCATGCACTTATATTAATTTTCTGGGATACTTTTTCGGTACACATTTATACCGACTAGCATAATTAATGATTATGACCTAATCAGCATTCTTAATCACTAATTATGATTATTAAGCCTCATAAATAATTATTAGGGTCAATTATGGAATCATTTCCTATTTTCACATAATTAATTAATTAAATACCTTAATTAACGGTGCGGGTTCTTACATTCACCCCACATTTTTAGGATTTTGACCTCAAAATCAGAAACATACCTGGTCGAAACTCGGGGTACTGCCGGAGAAGTTCGTCCTCACGCTCCCAAGTACACTCCTCAGGAGTCCTTCCGGTCCACTGCACCTTGACCATAGGAATGATCTTGCTCCTCAGCTGCTTCTCGCCACGATCGAGAATTCTGAGTGGTCCGACGGGAGTCTTCAGGTTCTCCTGAACCTCCACATCATCCGGTTGCACCACGTGCGACGGATCTGCTATGTACTTCCGAAGCTGAGACACGTGAAACATGTCGTGGATGTTAGCCAGGTTCGGAGGCAAGGCAAGCCGGTAGGCAACAGGTCCTACTCTACCAAGGATCTGGTATGGCCCAATATATCGCGGGCTCAGCTTCCTCACTCCGAGTGCCCGACCAACACCGGTGACAGGTGAAAGTCTCATAAACACGTGCTCACCCTCACTGAACTCCAGCGGACGATGCTTGATATCATAATAGCTCTTCTGGCGATTCTGCGCCTGCTTCAACTTTTCACGGATCATCTGGATCTGCAAGGTGGTATCTTGGACAAAGTCCAAGCCAAAAAGCTCCTTGTCCCCAACCTCAGACCAACAAGTAGGAGTCCGACACCTCCTACCATACAGTGCTTCGTAGGGTGCCATGCCCATGCTAGCATGAAAGCTGTTGTTGTAAGAAAACTCAACCAACGGAAGGTACCTATCCCATGCCGAGCCCTGCTCCAACGTGCAAGCTCGCAACATGTCCTCCAAGGTCTGGATGGTCCTCTCAGTCTGTCCATCAGTTTGAGGGTGATAGGCGGTACTCAATCTCAACTGTGTACCAAAAGCCTCCTGCAGCGCCTCCCAGAACCGAGATGTGAACTTCGGGTCCCTATCACTAATGATACTCTCGGACACCCCGTGAAGCCTCACAATCTCGCGGACATAAAGCTTGGCCAACTGCTCTGTAGTGAAGCTCACTTTCACTGGAAGAAAATGGGCAGACTTCGTCAGTCTGTCCACAATGACCCAAATAGAGTCACAACCTGCCTGAGTCTTCGGCAATCTCACCACGAAGTCCATGGAAATACCTTCCCACTTCCATTGAGGTACTTCAAGAGGTTGAAGTTCACCAGACGGTCTCTGATGCTCAATCTTCACCTTCTGGCAAACCAAACACTTGGACACAAAGATAGCAACATCTTTCTTCATGCCCGGCCACCAGAAGTTCTTCTTCAAGTCTTGATACATCTTAGTAGCACCAGGGTGGATAGAAAACTGACCCTTATGGCCTTCTGCCATAATCTCTTCTGTCAACGGACCTCGAGGAACTACTATCCTCTGCTGAAACAGAAGCAATCCATCATCATTCCAAGACACACCGTCTTGGTTCTTCACATAATCCAGACACTCTCTCTGAACTTGTGCCTCTTTAATCTTTTCATGACCAACATCAGGGCCATTCCTCATCTCCTCCAACATGACTCTAAACATCGTCATATTCGCCAGACGGTTGGCCTCCAACACGTTCTCAGTGGCCTTCCTGTTCGCCTCTCTGACGGCGTCCAGCATGGCCTGGTTTGTCATTCTCATGGCCTCCTGGTCGGCTAGTCGGGCCGCCTGCATCTCAGCTAATGCAGCCAGGACAGGATCGGGCCGATCCTCCGAAGTCTTGCGGTTTCTCCCGGGTCTTACCATGATTCTACACAAGTTACATAAATAATGAGTTGATTAGGCCCACGCAATGTGGTCACATATGCATCATCGTAATAATACTAGACGGAGCAAACACACAAAACAGACACAATCAAACATCCTAATCATTGCAATACATACAGGCTTTTCCCTTGAATCGTTGCTCTGATACCATAAAATGTAACACCTCGTGTATACCCGGAATATTAACATTACATCGTATTAAGCGGTGCTTAATAAAAAAAATGCGGAATATTTTTTTTCTTTTCAATTATGACGTCATTATCAATTACCAACTTGATTACTTAATCAATTTCATAAAATATCGTCTGTAGGTGAAATTGCAATAAGACATCTACTGAAATATCTCAATATATAGATAAAGTGTGTATCTAAATCACGGCATTACATCAAGTAATCCGGACAATATCCTGATACATTATTACAACTCCAAAAGACTCAAGACATAATAATACTATGTGTCATGGACAATCCCCATGCTCACCAAATAAACATAGTAAACAACAATCTCAACATAAAACTCCAAAATCATAACTGAAGCTATAAGCATATAAACAACATGCAAATCCAGCATCCAATCATGGCAACATAATATAACAGCAATCTAACTCAGCTCCGGCATCCTGCCGCCTGAGGTCTCAACATTACCTGACCCTGAAATAAGCATTCCCCAAACGTGGGGTGAGATCTCTAAACTAGAAATCTCAGTAAGACAAGGGGTCCTCAAGGATCTTCCACCCCAAGCTCACTTACATGTGCAATATAAGTTCAAAAAGCATTTATATCATTATCAGTTCCAAAACTATGTAGTGCAACAGATATCTATAGCATGTGTGTAATCACTATCTACTGGCCAGAGAAATGTAGGAATACGTCTAATCTCTACATGTAGTACAAGGAACACCGCTTGCACCTCACCCACAGCCTCACCCTCTTGTATGTTCTACATACTCAGGCTTACCGTATAGGTGGAACACCTCCATGCATATCAACAAGGCACTAACAGACAATAGCTCAACAGCATTTCCAAAACATCAAAAGCATGTAACACAGCATGCATATACCATATCCCCATGGGACATGGTGGAACCACAACATGGCTAAACCGAGGACACGAAAGCTTACCTCTAAACTAGCTATCCAATGCCACAAGCTCAAAGTCCAATCACAGCAGATCACAATCTGATATGGACCAAATATAAATCAATAAACATGTACCACATGCATACAATTAAAGACAACATCTTTTCATTGCGTTTTCAAGTCTTAAAGCTTCTAACAAAGCCACAAGCCCTTAATCTCATGATTCTGGCTTAATCCATTAAATAAAGAAGTTCAACTTCATCAAACTAGGGTCCACAAACCCCCAATAGCCTACTGTACACACAACACAGCTGCTGTTCTGCGAAATCCCAGAATATCCGGATATCTCACTGTCCATATCCTGATATTCAATATCCGGATATACAGATTCACATATCCGGATATCCAATATCCGGATATCCCAAAACCACATATCCAGATATCCAATATTCGGGTATCAGTTCGACAAATATTCGGATATCTCACGACAGAATGCAGTTTCTGCATTTTCGTGAAGATATCCCTTAAAGGTTCCCTTTTTACTGCTTTTAAACACCTAATCATGCATTTCTAGGTGTGTTAAGCCTTACCCAACAACAAGTTATCATCTTTTAACCTTAACATGCATCAAGCTTCCATTTTTAAGCCTTAAAACTCAAGTTAAAGGTTGGTATACATACCAAAGGCCAAAACAGAAGGAAAGGTTGCCCTTTGAAGCTCACAATCAGTCTCAAGCTACTGTCACAAGAGGATGCACGAAAATGGTAAGAAAGGTTGACCCTTTAGCACCAAAGATCAACACTTGGACCACCAAAAACCCAAGACAAGGCTTCTTTCAACCAACCACCAAGGTCAGCCCCCAAACAAACAAGAACAGTGGCTGATCACTCAGAAAAATGGTGTCTTCCAACCTCCCAAGGCTCACTCAAACAAGAACAAGTGTTTAGGAAGAAGGTTTTAAGAAGAAACAAGCATAAAATGATCACAAAGTCTCAAAATGGAGTAGATGACAATGGAACAGTATAGGAGGTCAGCCACCAAGGAGAACTCACGCTGGTTTTCTGGTATCCAGGGCAATGTGCCCTTAGTAAGTGTATTTATAGCCAAAACTCACTTAAGCACACATTATTAACTTTAATTGCTACGCTTAGCATTTTAATCCCAAACTTTGGATTATGAAACTACATAATTTTCTAAGATTTATCATATTTTTCTTATATTTTTCTGAGCACCTTTCTGGTACGCGCTTTTCAAAGCCAGTACCGGTTTCTAGCATCAGTTCTCATTATTTGGACTTAAAACTCGTTTTACAAGTCCTACATATTATTCTAGTAATTATCATGCACTTACATTAATTTTCCGGGATACGTTTTCGGTACACATTTATACCGACTAACAGAACCAGTATCTGCACTTTTCTTCCGAAAAGCGACTTTCAGCATTCTTAATTACTAATTATGATTATTAAGCCTCATAAATAATTATTAGGGTCAATTATGGAATCATTTCCTATTTTCACATAATTAATTAATTAAATACCTTAATTAACGGTGCGGGTTCTTACAAATGCCCCCGTGGTTTACTCCAGAATCAATTATGCTCCTGTGGTTTTTTTCTTATCATATATGCCCCTGTGGTTTGTAAAAGGGTATGTTTTTTTATCATATATGCCCCTGTGGTTTCTTAGTTTTTACAAAGCACAGGGGCATATGTGATCGAAAAAAAAAGCATAGGCAAGCAAATCAACATGATCAGGAAAATGGGATGAAAGCAGATAGCACTTTGAACCAGAATCAAGAGCAGTTATATGGCACATTTCATAAAACTGGTCCTGATATATCAGTTGACAACAGCAGCGACATCCAAAATCCCGATACCTCAACTATCTCTACGTGCATGGAGTGGACAGAGTTCACCAGGAAGATATTTCAAGAATGAAGGATGCAAGAACCTTGGAGTCTTGCGTTCAACATAGTTTTTAATGAATTTATTCTTCTGGAACTGTAGGGGAGCAGTGAAACCCCAGTTTCAAAAATCGCTTTTTCTGTTTACTAGGAAATATAAGCCTAGTATTGTAGTGATTCTAGAACCTCGGTGTAGTGGTCAAAAAGCTTCTGACATTATCCGAAAATCTGGGTTTAAGCATGCTTTTGTTCAAGAGGCAGAAGGTTACTCAGGGGGTATTTGGATCCTCTGGAATGATGAGACTGGTCTCGTTGAATATGTTAATCACACAAAACAGTTTGTTCATTTTAAAGTTCAGAATTTTCATGTTCCTTCCTTTTCTTGCACGGCAGTTTATGCGAGTCCTAGGGAAGAGAATAGAAAGGAGCTATGGGATGATCTGTTAAACATTAGTCTCCATTGTAATGGGCCGTGGTTGGTGGCTGGGGATTTTAATGAAATAGCAAATCGTGATGAGAAGGAAGGTGGCTGTAGAGTTAACTTAAACAGATGTTCCAATTTTGCAAATGTTCTTCATAATTGCAAGCTGCTGGATCTTGGAGGATCGGGTCCTTGGTTTACATGGAAGGGTCCGAAGTTTCTTCATCTTGATCGTGTTTTTAAGAGGCTGGATCGAGCCTGTGCTAATGCAAGTTGGAAGACTACCTTTACTGATGCTGGCGTTAAGGTACTTCCACGGATTTATTCTGATCATAGTCCCATTTTGGTCTACTTGACTAACTTGGACACAGGTTGGAAAAATCGTCCCTTTCGCTTTGAGATTGCTTGGATGGAGCATTATAACTTTACTCAGTTTCTGGCTAGGAGCTGGAATGTTGTGAAAGACACTAGAACGAATCTGCATGATCTGACTCCAAATTTAAAAAGATGGAACAAGGTAGTCTTTGGCAACATTTTCAACAGGAAGACTAACCTATTGCATAGTATTGCAGAAATTCATAATCATGTTGATTATCATACCAACTTATCTCTCCAATCTAGAGAAAAGGAGGTCAGGAAGGACCTTGATGCGGTTCTCATACAATAGGAGATCTTATGGTTTCAAAAAGCCAGGGTGAAATGGATAAATGATGGGGATAGAAACACCAAATTCTATAACATTAAAACAACTACTCGAAGAAGTTCGAATAAGATCCTTGAGTTAAAAAATTCTGATGGGATTTGGGTGAAGGAAGCTAGACAACTTCATCAATTGGTAACAGATTTCTATAGTAACTTGTTTAGTGAGGAAGTCCTTAATCGTGATTGGGTGAAAACAAAGACTACTTGGCCCCTTCTGCACGATGATCTGCTATCTAATCTGACTCGTAATCTTTCGGATGACGAAATTTCAAAAGCTGTTTTTAGTATCAATGGGTCAAAAGCTCCAGGGGAAGATGGTTTTCCAGCTGCCTTTTTTCATAAGAATTGGAGTCTTATTAAGACTAATGTTATTAAGGATGTTAACATGATGTTTCAGAATCCCAATCTGATTCACCTTGTGAACTCGACTCTTCTGGTCCTCATTCCAAAAGTAAAGAGACCTGAAAGTGCTAAGCAGCTCAGACCAATCTCTTTGTGCAATGTCATTTATAAAATCCTCAGTAAAATTCTGGTTAACAGAATGAAGCCCCTAATGGAAGAGATGGTGTCTCCCTTCCAAGCTAGTTTTGTTCCTAAACGACATATCCAGGACAACATCATCATCACCCAAGAGCTGATCCATTCAATGCGTAGAATGAGAGGAAGAAAATGTTTCATGGCAATTAAAATCGACTTGGAAAAGGCTTATGATATGTTAAATTGGGAGTTTGTTCGTAAAGTTTTGGATGAAATTCAAATCCCACACTGGTTCACAAATATTATCATGAATTGTATCAACTCTGATAAGGTCTCAGTACTTTGGAATGGAGCCATTGCAGGTGACTTCCTTCCTTCAAGAGGAGTTCGTCAGGGTGATCCTTTATCTCCCTACATTTTTGTTCTAGCCATGGAAAAATTGTCTCATCTCATTCAAGATGCGGTTGACAATAAAAGATGGAAGCCAATCTCCGTGGGATCAAAAGGTCCTAAGATAGCCCATCTGATGTTTGCTGATGATTTGATGCTGTTTGCAGAAGCTTCTCTAGATCAAATCAAAGTTATAGTGGATTGCTTGGAGACTTTTAGTTCAATGTCTGGCCTAAAGGTTAGTATTCCGAAATCTAGCATTTTTTTCTCGAAAAATACAGATGCTCACATTGCAGATGATATCACAAATGTGTGTGGCTTCAAGCAAACTCACAATATAGGGAGATATCTTGGGTCCATGATGAAACATGGTCGAGTAACCAAAGACCATTATGCTGATGTTGTTGCAAGAATTAGACACAAGTTATCTGGTTGGAGTAACCAGGTCTTATATTTTGCCGGTCGAATTACTCTTTCCAACTCCGTTATTTCAGCAACTCCTATATTTCAAATGCAACACAGTCTGCTTCCTGTAGCCATTTGTGATGAAATAGAGAAGTTGCAGCGTGCCTTTATTTGGGGTGATAAAAATGGTCAAAGGAGATCTCATTTGGTTGCATGGGATAATATTTGCAAGCCTAAGAGCATGGGTGGCTTAGGTGTGATTAACCTTCGTGTCCAAAATATGGCTTTCTTTCATAAGCTTGCATGGACGATTCTTACTTCGCCCGATTCATTGTGGGTTCGAGTTGTAAATCATAAAGCATATGACTCATACTTCTGGAAAAATCTGTGTAGTGTTTGGCCATCTTTTCTTCAAGCAATGCAATGGGAGATTGGAGACGGTAATGATGCTTTATTTTGGACAGACAATTGGTTGGGTTTAACTGAGTGTCTTGCCTCTCTGGCTACTCGTACTCTAACAGGTTTGGAGTTGAATCTCCCTGTTAGTGCCTTCGTGAACAGCAACACTGGTCAATGGAACTTTCCCTATATTCGTCAATATCTCAATCATCAAGCTGTTGCAAGGATCCAAGCTGCTCTCATTCCTAGCGCATCGGATGGAAATGACCGCATTATTTGGAGAAATCAAAAGGTTGGCTGCTCTTTAGTTAAAACCGCGTATTATAACATGCTTGGTTTCCCTCTCATGCCGTTGAAAAATTCTTGGACTACCATATGGAAATGGCATGGGCCTCAACGTGTTAAATCTTGTATGTGGATCATAATGCATGGCCGCCTTCTTACTAAAGACCGCACATCTAGATGGAGTGGGGAATCTGGTCGTTGTAAAATGTGTCCTGGTGAGTTGGAAACAAATCTCCATGTTCTAAGAGATTGTAAGCATGCTAGAAGTGTTTGGAATTCTCTGGTTTCAGCTAATCGACAAAGCTTATTCTACAGCTTGGATCTTAGAGATTGGGTTGAAAATAATATCTCAAAAGCTTGGAATCAAAGTAATTCAGATGATTGGCGTGATGTCTTTTTTATCTCTTGCTGGTTCATTTGGGGATGGAGGAACAAAAGTGTCAATGATACTAACTTCAAGCATCCAACCCATGGAACGCACATAATTGCTATGTATATAGAGGAAGTTCGTAACTGCATGGGTAGGAAGGCTATGGCTACTACTAGCATTCATTCAACTCGTATGAGTTTATGGAAACCTCCAAGGCTAAATTGGGTGAAGATTAATATTGATAGGGCAGTTGAAAGGAATACTGAGGTGGCTGCTTGTGGTGGGATTATCAGATCTGATGATGGCTCTTGGTTGGGAGGCTTTGAGTATCATATTGGTGCTTGCACTCCTTTAATGGCGGAGCTTTGGGGAACTCTAAAAGGTCTGGAATTGGTTTGGCAACTGGGATTTAAGAAGGTGGAACTAGAAGGAGATGCTTCTGAAGTATTCTCTCTGCTTGCTGGTTGCAATGCAGCTTGTCAGCCTCGTATAATGGCTAAGATACAAGCACTCATCGGTCAGGATTGGGAGGTAACGCTTTCTCATATTCCAAGAGAAGCTAATTCCTGCGCAGATTGGTTAGCCAAGTCTGCTCTTCACAAAGATACTGGATTCTGGAGTCATAGAATTATGCCGTTTCACCTTGCTCAGTTATTTGATCACGATCTTCAGAGAATCTCCTCTTGTAGGGATATAGACCCTGGATAGTTATTTTTTGTTTCTGGTTGTTTGTTTGTTTTTGTTTGGGGCTTCGCCCCTTAATGTTATCAAAAAAAAAAAAAACATAGGGGCATAAATAATTCTGGAGTAAACAATAGGGGCATTGGTGAACTTTTCCCTTATATTTATAGGGAGAGGTTATACTTATTATCTATTTTTTTTATTATCAAATCTTAATCGTTAATTTTCATCAATTAATGATTATAATTTATTAAAAATTAATAATTAATTAATAAGTATGATCCAATAAATTATAATTGTTAAATTGACGAAAATTAACGGTTAAAATTTAATAGTAAGAGATAATACAAAAAATATATAGTAACTATACCCTCCCTTAGTTGAAATTCTGTAAAAAAAAATATTCTAAAATATCAAGCTTGAATATATTTTAAAATTTAATGAATTTCTCAATTAAAATAAATTTGTTATAACAATTATAACTTTTTAAAAAAGATGTTCTAGTTCATCATTGATTTTTGTTTTTTCACGACAAAAATTACTTCGTTCCTACATGGTATAAATCATATACCATGTTAATTTTAATTCTAACTCAATGTGAATCATCAAATCATATATATTATAAAAGCAGAATTGTTTTGACTCCAGTTATTCTTCATTTCAAGCGTTGATGGACAAAAATTAATAGTTGTTATTTGTAGTGTAATTAATTAATTAGTATGATTTTCTAAATTATAATTGTTAGATGAGCGAAAATCAACGATTAAGATGGAGAGTAAGATTTTTAAGTCTTATTCTGGACTCAAAATATCTCTCTCCATATTATAATATTGAAAAAGTATTATCCAAGATAACTTTTTATTCCTCATCTTTTTTGATCTAAAATATTTTCAACCTATGCGTTCACTTTATGCATCATTTCTTCTCTTCCTTGTCAATGAAAAGCGCAAATGTCAATTTTGCATAGATGCAGGTCATACAATTTCAGGGGGATCAAGGAAAGAATGTTTCTACTTTCCTTGTGCAGGTAAACATGATGCTGACCGTATTATAATGTAGCTGTTGTTTTTAAGTATAGTGTTATAATTTATAAATTCCTGTATTGCTACAAATAGGTTGGCTGATAGAGCTTAGCTCTAAGGAAGAACAAGGTAACAATGAAAACACGATTTTTATTCAATGAATTGAATCAATTACAATAAGTTTTACTATATACTGATGCACTACTAAACCAAACATGCTTTATCCTACAATGGCCCATTACTATCATTGGCCCAATACAACTTACTATTACACATGGAAGTCCAAGGCCCAACTTGGGGCACTGGTTAATCTCTTGGGTCTGATCTTAGCCGTATCACATGTCCTTCCTTCAAAAGGGACCTTGACCACAAGGTCCAACTCAGGATAAAATTCTGTAAATCCTCTTCATACTCCCATGAAGAATCCTCTGGTAATGAGTGAGACCATTGGACCAACCATTGCCTGACTTCCTTATCCTGTTGAAGAATGATACGTGAGTTGATGACATATAGTGGTTTCTGTATGGGTTGATTCTCATGGCAATCAGAAGGCAACTCAAAAACTGACACAGTAGAGCTTCCAAAATACGGTTTTAACACTGATATGTGAAAAGATGGATGAATTATCGAATGTGGAGGCAGCTTTAACTGGTAGGCAACCTTACTTAATACCCTTTTAATAGGAAAGGGACCAAAATACCTTTTGGCAAGTTTCTGATTAGTTCTTCGGGCTAAGGATACTTGCCTATATGGTTGGAGTTTAAGCAACACCAAATCTCCAACCTTAAACTCCTTATCTTTTCGGTGCTTGTCGGCTGTCAAATTCATTTTGTTCTGAGTGGCTTGTAAGTGGTGTTTTAAACTTGTAATTAACTCATTACGGTGAGAAAGTAGTGTATCCACAGCTGCCACACATATTGACCCCTGTTGGTATGA